TGAGCGTGAAATGTGCTGGGAACCTGCAGAGAGCTGCGCTGGCTTTGCCTTAATTGCACATTTTGGGGCTGATTCCCAAAATTCCCAAAATCTCCGGGTTTATTCCCACCCTGGGCACGGAAACCAAACTCTGCCTTCCCAAAATTCCCAAAATCTCCGGGTTTATTCCCACCCTGGGCACGGAAACCAAACTCTGCTTTCCCAAAATTCCCAAAATCTCCGGGTTTATTCCCACCCTGGGCACGGAAACCAAACTCTGCCTTCCCAAAATCTCCAGGTTTATTCCCACCCTGGGCACGGAAACCAAACTCTGCCTTCCCAAAATTCCCAAAATCGCTGGGTTTATTCCCACCCTGGGCACGGAAACCAAACTCTGCCTTCCCAAAATTCCCAAAATCTCCGGGTTTATTCCCACTATGAGATCCCTGTGAGAATTCCTGGGCACAGAAACCAAACTCCAGCTTCCCAAAATTCCCAAAATCTCCGGGTTTATTCCCACTCCGTGATCCCTGTGGGAACTCCTGGGCACAGAAACCAAACTCTGCCTTCCCAAAATTCCCAAAATCTCCGGGTTTATTCCCACTCCGTGATCCCTGTAGGAACTCCTGGGCACAGAAACCAAACTCTGCCTTCCCAAAATTCCCAAAATCTCCGGGTTTATTCCCACTCCATGATCCCCGTGAGAATTCCTGGGCACAGAATCCAAACTCCAAGGGGTTTTTTTTTGGAGCAGGAAAAGCTGCTGCTCCGGCCACACAGGCTGGAATGTTCTGGGAATGACTTGGCAGCTGGAATATGGATTAAGCCAAATTCCTGCTCTTTCCCTGCTGGGATTTTTAGGGAACAAATCCAGCAGGAGCCAACTGTGCTAAAGCTGGGATGAGCTGGGCGCAGTTGAAACCTCCAAACTGGGATGGGGTGGTGGATTCCCAATCCCTGGAATGCCCAAGGAAAGTGGGAGAAGGGAAGGCTCCAGGAAAACCTTGGAGCTGCTTCCAGAGCCTAAAGGGGCTCCGGGAGAGCTGGAGAGGGATTTGGGACAAGGGATGGAGGGACAGGACACAGGGAATGGATTTAAACAGAAAAAGGGGGATTTGGCTGGGATTTTGGGAAGGAATTCCTGGCTGGAATGGGCTGGAATTCCCAGAGAAGCTGTGGCTATCCCTGGGAGCTGGAGAAGGGAAATTCCAGGCAGAGCTCTGGGCCTGAAAGGCCTCCGGGAGAGCTGCAGAGAATTTGGGATAAGGGATGGAATTCCAGGAGCCAGGGAGTGGCTTCAGACTGAGGGAGGGTGGATTTAGGAGGGATTTTGGAGCTGCGGAGAATTTGGGATAAGGGATGGAATTCCAGGAGCCAGGGAGTGGCTTCAGACTGAGGGAGGGTGGATTTAGGTGGGATTTTGGAGCTGCGGAGAATTTGGGATAAGGGATGGAATTCCAGGAGCCAGGGAGTGGCTTCAGACTGAGGGAGGGTGGATTTAGGAGGGATTTTGGGAAGTAATTCCTGGCTGTGGGGAGGGTGATGAGCTGCAATTCCCAGAGAAGCTGTGGAAGCATCCAAGGAAAACTTAGCCTAGCGAAAAAATCGGGAGCGGGACGAGCTTTAACCTCCTCCCACCCCACAAAATGTTGGATTTTCCCGGTGGGAACCCCCCGGGGCAGCTCAGAAGCGTGCAGGAAAACGAGGAATTGTGCTGTGAACTCCTTCCTACAGCTGCGTGCCCCGTGTGGCGCTTTGCCGGCCCCGCGGCGCTCGGCAGCAGGGCCCCGCTCCCGCCGGGGCAGCCGACCCCACGTACTGACAGCTCCTTAAAGTTTTGCCCCCAGAGGACTCGGAGACGCGGCACGTGGTGGAAAAGCTGGCCAGGTTCGTGGCTGAGGGCGGCCCCGAGCTCGAGAAGGTCGCCGTGGAGGACTACAAGGACAACCCTGCTTTCTCGTGAGTGAGGAGCGACGCAGCCCGCGGGGCTGTGCCCCGGGAGGGGCAGACAAAGGGTGGTGTTCCTCCTGAGAGGGAAATCTGGGATTTGAGAGGGAGGTTTGGGTTGCTGTTCTTCCCGAGAGGGAAATCTGGGATTTCAGAGGGAGGTTGGGGTTGTGTTCTTCCTGAGAGGGAGGTTTGGGTTGGTGTTCCTCCTGAGAGGGAAATCTGGGATTTCAGAGGGAGGTTTGGGTTTGGTGTTCTGCCTGAGAGGGAGGTTTGGGTTGTGTTCTTCCCGAGAGGGAAATCTGGGATTTCAGAGGGAGGTTTGGGTTTGGTGTTCCTCCTGAGAGGGAAATCTGGGATTTCAGAGGGAGGTTTGGGTTGGTGTTCTTCCCGAGAGGGAAATCTGGGAT